AATAATAATAATAATAATAATAATAATAATAAATGAAATAAATACATAGAAATAGAATAAAATAAAATTACAAGTTTTAAAAAAAAGATAAGATTTAAAAAAATGGTCCCGGATTTTTTTTTTTTTTTTTGGGGGGGGGGGGGGGTTGCAACCCCCCCCCCCCCCCAACCCCCCCTCTAGATCCGCTTCTGGGATCAACAGGCACCGATTGGGGAAGTTTTCTATATGGAGGGAGCAAGTAGCTACAAGTAGGACAGTGGGGCTTTAAAACCAACTTAATATCAGGGTGAACTTCCCTTTAATCGTGCTGAATTAGGGTGAATACTATTTGTTCTGATTCGTCTGATTCAGCATATTTGATAAAGGTTGAGAAACAGGGCTTAGGCAACGAAACAGATATATCACTTATCCGATTTACATGATGGTAGCACGTGTGTGATTGATATCAATCGATTTTGATTGAACGTGACGTAGAGTTTGATAAATGAGTCATTATGTTTTTAGTTTAGCATGGTTCTTCCTGTACATGATTGTATTGGGTTGTGGATAGCCCAGTTTATACATGTATGCGATGTTTCATGGAAGTGGCATGCAAAATCCCCATACATGTAGGCTATGGCACATGAATGTAAGCCATAGCCGTTATTGTCCAAAATATTATCAAAATTAATAGATTTCGAAATTGTGAAGGTAGCTATCATTTCAGATTAAATGACATGTTCTTACAATCATAAACTTACCAAGCCTAGCACCATATACAAACTGTATTTCGGCATTGAAATACAATTGTTATCATATTGTAATAATAAAAATGACAATTTAGATTGTTATCCTGCATAATTTGTGAATTAGTCAGACTTTGGTCCATTTGATTTCCCATTTCAAAAGATATAAAATAACATTTTATTATCTACATACGATTTAGATAAATGAAGAATAACATAAAAGATAAAAAGTCACCATCATTGTTATCCCCATCACCATCACTATCATCATCATCATCATCATCACCATATTATCACCAGAAACTATCATCTCCATAATCATTACCATCATTACCATCATTATCATCTGTACTATCATCATCACCACCATCTTCATAACCATCATCATCATCACCATCATCATAACCACAGTCCATTATCATCACCACTATCATCTCATATTAAATTAATCTGAGAAATTCAAGGAACCCCTTTGTTTCACCATCTATGGAGTTATCACAGTACTTAATCATATTCATTGAAGAGGTATGTACGACAATCATTAACAAAAGATTTAAAAAGCTTAGAAACATATAAAAGTTTATTCACATTTTTCATATTTCCAAAATATACAAAGAAATTCTTCTTTAACGTTCATGTATGAAAATAATATTCTCATAATATTGCAATTTTTTACATTTTTGATTATAAACGCGAGACTAAATAGTCAATTTCAACTTTCAATTTTACATGCAGGTAATGGTATCAGAATGAAGCTGAGTTGCCTTCTATTAATTGCTTCATCATTTATATCCACTGTAATCTGTGAATCTACTTTGAGACTCATTCCAACACAGAGTATTACACATATAGGTCAATTGAATAATATACAGGGTGGCCAATAAAAAACATTTAAGAAACACATATTACACCTGCTACTTTTCCAAGGACACCATTGACAAAACAAATTTGTTTTTTGGTTTATCGGGTAGAAAATTTGTTTCAGAGTAATTTGACACCAAGATCATCAATCATAGGTTAGGTTTGTTTATTCTACGGCGAATTTTCTGAGGCAATGTTGTTTTCAAAATTGCTATTTTTGCATTCATAGTTATGCTTGAAGCAGCGAGAATTTAGAACGACAGCTTCCCATACTGCTATCGTCAACACAATTTTCTATTCAGAACAGACTTTTCAACCCTCTAACACTAAAACAAATGTCACTGTGTCAATGATGTAATTGAAATCTCAGGTGGCACATTCTTTTTGTGACACCCTGTATCACACAAACATAAACCCATTCAGGATGCTCATGAACAACTGTACAAAATAGTTGTGGTAATATTTGGAGAGTACATGTTACATAGTCATTTCAGAAGTACTGAATTTGAATGTACGTAGTGAAAATGTAGTACCAGTACATGTAAAAGGAAATTTAACAATTTTAAAAACTTGATTGATTAATAAAATAAAAAAATGATAATGAATAATTATTTTTAAAAATTCTAAACAAAATTCACAAGTAACATAAAAAACAGAATTTTGCAACTGTTAAGATGAAAAGTGATTTGTTTTCTTTCTTTATGGTATAAACCTTCTACAAACAATACATTTGAAACATTAATTTTTTGGCAGAAAAGTTTTTTATGATATTTCTCGCAATACAATTTTTTTTTGCAGTATATAATATTTTGAAATTTGTAGAAGTACATGTAATATTTGAAGCTCGACAAGAGCGAAACATGTTTTAGTGATTTGTTCACTTCAAAAATTTATCAAGATATTTCTTGAATATTAAAGTAGCTGTGGAATGGCACATCTGTGTGTTTGCATTAATTACTGGTATACACATTTCATAATCATGATTTGAATTTTAAAAAAGTAAGAGAAAAAAAATAGCATTCAAATTTTTTTAAAGGAAATATAGCTTGAATAAATGAGACAAAAAAGAAGTACAGAAATATAAATATTCTTCAACATTGTAGGAGGCGCGATGGCTCAGTGGTAGAGCTGTGGTCTCGTAACCAGGAGGTCCAGGGTTCAAAACCAGGTCATTGCGCTCATGCCCTTTGGTAAGGCATTAATCCTCATTACCAAGTCCCTCGGGGAGGACTTAAAGAGGACTTAAACCCTGGTTGCTTACTTACAACTTACAAGCATACACATGCTTTCAGGTAAAACATTTATCATCTAACAGCATCATCGAAAAGGGTCACCCTGTTCATATATTGTTCATATTATACTGAAACCTGTACATAAAGACCGCTCAAGGGAGACAAGAAAAGTGGACTGAATGAGCAGGTGGTCATTATGTACAGGTTCATTTCGTACCTGTTTCAGTGAGAAACCATTTTTGAAGGGAAACAGAATATGTTTCTTTATAGATAGGTGGTTGCTAAAGCAGGTTTCTCTGTATATCTGTATTCTATATAATATAACATTGTAGTTTTGGTGCTGATGTTCTAGCTCTCCATTAGGTACTAGTACAGAACCTTTGCCTGATGGCTGTTAAGAAAACAGCAACATGACATCTACAAACATAGTGTAAGGCACGCAAGACATTTGCCTTATTACATTGATTTGATACAAATTAATATTCTTGAGTACGGTAATGAGTAAAAGTGACAATATTTTTAACAACAAGCAGAAGAAATGCTTGATTCGTGCTCCTTCATGGAACTGCTTAGAATAGGCCATTTTCCTAATGTAATCAAATATATACATATATCTTTGTGAAGCGCCTTGATACCAATTATTTCATTCACCCGTTTCAAATAAATGTATCTCTTTTTGGTCAGAATGGGAATTGTATACAATAGTTATTGCTAGGTAGGAAAAACATTATGGCTTGTCCTACCTAGCAACACATAATCTATGCGATTCCCATTCTGACTATTGAAACACACTTGTAAATAGGTGAATTCAATTATTTATAACGAGGCGCTTATCAAAGATTTATGCATTAAATTTGATAAAAATTACATTAAGAAAATGATCCATTGGAACGTCATGGTGTAGTGGTTCACGTTAAGACAAATACATGTACAGTTAATAACTAAATTATTTCTACCGTTTCCTAGTCTTGTAGGATTTTAATTACATTAAAAAACTTGATATGTCTCCATCTACATGTATGTTTCTTTTAAAGAATGAAACATATCAAAGCTTACATCTAAAAGTATTCAACAAAGGCTCCAACTTCAACCAATCCACCTTTTATTCTTGAGTAACTAAAAATCAAATAGTTGTTAACTGTACGTTTATCCTTTATTATTCATTCTCCAAGTGTATGAAGAAGTTCAGTAGGCCTACCTGGGAAGAATTTCTTTAAATGTTAAAAAGCACCAATATACATGTAGCTGCATCGGTAGAGCAAGGGTTATAATACTGAAGTAACAGGGGTGCCATGGGTGACAGACACTAGAGCTATACAACAGCCCTTTTATGCCTTAAAAAAATGTTTTACCCTGCCAACAACATGATTTTCATACCAATTAAGATAGTACAGAGACTAAATTAAGTCTATTTCACTGCATAAGACACACATTTTTCTATGTACAGTGAAACTTGTATATAAAGACCATTCAAGGGTGACAAGAAGGGAAGTATTTATAGGCAGGTGGTCGTTATGTACAGGTTTCTATGAGAAACGATTGTCAAGGAAAATAGAAAATGTGGTCTTTATGGACAGTTGGTCACTACAGCAGGTTTCACTGTTTGTACATAATTTCATTGCTTCATTAACCTATTTCATTTGGTTTCTTATTTCATGGAATGAAAAACAGAGTTCCCGAAGTCTATACTCTGGGAGATCAGTCAAATAGCTAACACCTCGATAAGGACATGGAATGTATCCAGAAAGACTAGTTTATTAAGGCATAGGTTAGGGCAACAAGGTGGTTTTTCACTGTCATAGGTACATGTACTTCATGCTACCAAAACCTTCACATTGTATCTGACACTTAATTTGCACCAGAAGAAATTGGTCTTTTTTTCTTAAAATTAACAATCTTAAAGACTACGCCATTTCTTGATGGGACCACAGGTTTGCTGTAAGCGAAACTCGTACATCCATTAATGGTATTTCCACCAAGTCTGGTATCAGCGCATTATGACCTTCTGCACATGGAAACTGATGACCATCTCCCTTTAAAGGCCGGCTGTCCTAGTTCAGCCAGAAGGGATTAGACCACACAGCGAGGTCACTGGCAGGTGGCTATCTCATTTACTATCTCATTAACTCAGCTCTCAAATAACATAAGAAAAAGAGGATCGTGGGGGACCAACAGGCACCGATTGGGGAAGTTTTCTATGTAGAGGGAGCAAGTAGCTACAAGTAGTACAATGTGGCTTTAAGATCTCAAAAAGCAATGATTGGTTTGAAAGTGAGTGAAGGGTGCGGTCAGTCGAGTACTTGAATGAAATTGGCCGGAAAGATACCCGTTTGACCTCTGACTGTCCCCTCCCACCAATCAAACTGTTTGCTGGTCCTGGTCAGAATCAGAATCTGGTCACCAGCTTCAAAGGTCAAGTCGCAGCGAAGGATAGCTGTGAAGGAGTGCAGGGCTTGACCGATCGTTGGCTTGCTCCAAACATCATTCCAGTCTGTTTGATACATAGGAAATATTGGATCATGTAAATAGTTGATAGTTAATAATAGTTAATAATAATAATAATAATAATAATAATAATATAATAATAATAATAGTCCACTTATAAAGCGCTTAATACAATGTCTCTAAGCGCTTTACAGATATACTATTACCCCGGTCGTTGGAGTCTGTGCTTGCCTGCACACACTGTGTGCACAATCTCCACTCCCTGGGGAGCCTTCAAGCTAGGCATTACTCTACGCTCAAAAACTGTTTGACCAACAATGACAGTCGCATCCTACCGGGTACCCATTTGACACCTGGGTGGAGAGTAGCAAGTGCAGGTTAATATCTTGCCAAAGGATATTAGTGCCGTGTCGGACCCTCAACATTCGCATCTCAAGTCAAGCGCCTTTAACCACTCGGCCACGACACCCCCACAGTGTGTGTATAAATGGTCAAATCTTTTAACAGAGATATCTACAGTGGATAGATATTGATGGCTTCTTGCTATTTACCAACCTCACATTTACTGGTACCGGTACATGTAAAATCAAAGAAAGTTGGGAACAGTCTCATGGGGTGTTATTAACATGGGCTTTAAAATTGATATGACATTGAGTGTAGGATCTCGTACTAAGGATCTCTGGTGAGGGGTGGTATTAAATATGAGGAAAACAATCTTGAGTATGTGTGTGTGTGTGTGTGTGTGTGTGTGAGGGAGGGGGGGGGGGGGAGGAGGTCCATACCTGCTGAAGAGGATATCTTAGTAACATCTCTCCTCACACTAGATGCCCCCGATCTTTCTCTTGATGAACTCGCTGGCCTCAATGGGGCTCTTCTTTTTACTTCTGTTCTAGATGAATCTGTGAGGTCGATCGATGATCTGGGTCGAATAGGTTTTCCTGTGAATTAAAGAGGAAAATCAACCTTTGTGTTATTTTGAGGGTTCCCTAGACAAACGGCCAAGAGGACAGATTCCCCACTAGACCGACAATGTTAGTCTCATGAGCCTTCTGTTAGCTTATTTTGACAGTTCACTAGATTGACTCTCCAAAAGCAGACAGTTCATGAAACCAAAACCTTGAATTAATGGGTATTCCAACGGCTAGCCGCTGGGTCACTCCTGTGATGAAATTTGTTTGTTTTGTCAGTCTTGTGGGCTTCTGGTCTCATGGCGGCATACACTGTTGATCTAGAGTGAACATAAGGTTGGTCCTATACATACATGTAAAATATAAATGAACAATCTAGAGGGGTGGGGGACGATAATCAATATGTTAAACCTGAGTACATCTTGTACAGTGTTAAAGCGATCTAGAGAAGGATGGTAAATTCAACCCGACTGTAACTTGTATTAAAGGTAAACATCAGTTTTGGAAACATCCCCCCTCAAAAAAATCAAATGGAAGCTCTTATTAACAGTCATGTGAAAGATTATGTTTTGACTAATACGTGATGATACAAATTGTTCCAGGATACCGCCTACTAATTGATATATTTGGTAAATTATCATATCTATCCGGCCTGAATAGATTGCATAGTTCCATATACATGTACATCTTTCTGCGTACAGTGCTGGTAAATTTACCAAGACTGTGCCAAATTTCTGATCATTTTGATGATTCCAGAACCTTGCAGTACACTAAAATACTTATATGCTAGATGATCAACCTTTTCTGAGCGATTCCACAACGTTTCTTTCACAATGCAATCGCATGACAAGAACTGGTCTATACAAATGTACCTTTAACCATCTCTACTAGTATATTAATAATAATAATACATAAGACAAATCCACTTGACAATCAGATGCTCAAGGCTGAACTTGTGCAAAAGATGAAATACATGATAAACATATATACAAAAGTGCAATAGGAAAGGTACAGACATGAAAGGTAATGGTAATCAATTATAAGCTAAATTGTACAGATGTTTCTTCAGATTATTTGTAAACACTTCACCAGAACTGTCATTTATAATCAATTGAGGAAGAGTATTCCATAATAAAGGCCCAGCATGAGCGAAAGTTCGCCCCCCCCCCCCCACGTTTTGAGAACGTAGCTGTCTAGAGGGAATGTAATGCTTGATCAAGCCAATATTGTATTGTGGAGCAGAAATAGATCTCAAGTTCATACCTGCTACAGAGGGTCTCTTAGGAGCATCTCTCCTCACACTGGATCCACCTGATCTTTCTCTTGATGCACTCGCTGGCCTCACTGATGCAGATCTTTTAAATTCTGTTTTCAATTCTGTTTTAGAATCTGTGACATCGATGGATGATCTGGGTCGAATAGGTTGCTTTTTGGCTGTGAAAGTAAGAAGAAGAAAATCAAAATCAACCTACTTCTTGTAATATCAATAAATTGTTCTTAAAACACTCATGCATCATTCATTCCCAAGAAAAATTGGCTTCAATAAGGCAGAGAAACAACCAAGATTAGTTTGTATCACATAATCATACACAATAAGAGAATTAGTGGGCTAAGGAAAAGGTTGCATGCTCTGGTAATGTATGGGAAATCATACAGTAGATCTACCCCTCTAATTGTGTTCTTGAAGACTTGGGGGGGGGGGGGGGGGGTCATTTTTCTAATGAAACTTAAAGGGGAAGTCCACCCTGATATTGAGTTGGTGTTAATAGAAGCAGACAAATCAGAGAAACAGGTCAGTGAAAGTTTGAGCGAGAAAAAAAAACAGATTACAAATAAGAAAGTTATGAATTGTTGAAGATGCAATCAATCAAATACAATTGGCAACTCTGTGACGTGTCTTGCAAGGTCTCCTCCCATTTGCCCTGTACTTATATAAAACTCAAAACGTTGTTCTCCCTTGAGAAAATATCCAATCATACACTCACCCTAAATCTAATTATTACAAATATTTTTGTATACAACCCCTGTTTGACTCAAATCTATTCCGTCATCAATAACTAAGAAAATGAAGGTTCATGAAATTTTTTGTACAAAGAAATTGGAGAGGAGCTCACAAGATACATCACAGCGTTGCCAATTTGTGTTTAATTGACGACAACTTCCAAAATTCATTATTGTCCTATGTTTAATGGAATATTGGTCCAACTTACGAATTTGTTTCTCTTTCTCTCATTTTTCTGCATTTATTAAAACAAGATAATATAAGGGTGGACTTCCGCTTTAAGACTTTCCCTTTTGAATATATATGCAATTAATGAAACACAAATTGGCAACTCTTTAAGATGTGAACAATCAGGTTTGTCTTACCCTTTCTGAAACTCAGATGTCTGAAACTGAATCTCCTCTTAAAATTCTCTGCCATGCCATTTATCATTCATCACTCCATGAGTAGCCGTCTACCTGGTGAAAAATAGTTTGGATATTGGTATGAGCAAAGTACCTACTAACATTTTGATCTACATGTATCAAGGCCTGTCTTCACTAGCTCGAGATTGACAAATATCCCGCTATTTGAACTATCCCGATCACAAACTATCCAGCTAATTTGCATCTTCATCAGCCCGAAGTTGCAATTAGCGGGATATTTGGTCAGGATTGTCATCCCAAGATATCTTGGGATAGTTTGCAAAATATCCCACTATTTGGTAAAATATCCAGCTATTTGTCCGGTGCGTCTTCACCAGACGGAAGACTCGCACTATGCACGAACGCTTAGCAAAATATCTCGAGCTAATTTCTCAAGGTCGAGTTTCAAGTTTCGAGGTTAAATCTCGAGCAGATGGAGACACGATTTGTAACTTCGGGATTATTTCCCAAATCAGAAATAGCGGGCTATTTGGCAATCTCGAGATGATGAAGACACGCCTAGTGTGTATCATCACAGTCAGGTTAAGCACTATAAATCATCCACGTAAAATACCTTTCTGAAAAGCACCCTTAATGAGGACCAAAGTCTGCAGTAGTTAACCTAAATAGGAAACCTTGTTTAACATCTCTGACTTTTGGAAACTAAAACAGAGATTTTATATCTTGCATGGTATTTTAAAACCTTTTTCGAGGACTAAATTTTTCTTCTTTCTTTTTAGCCACAAACAAAAATGTCACAGAAAGAAAATCTGATTTGGATTTTACAACAAATTATTTGTTAAAGAAAAGAACAAGAAACGCTTGGGATCCATGTAAATTTATAAGAAAAATATTTTTAGCAGCGTCCCTCTTTCCCAAGACGAACAAGGGTGTTAGAAAAACAAAAACAACATACTCACATTCAAATTCAAATGCTGTAGACTTCTTTCATCTTAAAGCCCCACTGTACTAGCTACTTGCGCCCTCTTCTATAGCAAACAATGCCTAATTGGTGCCTGTTGGTCCCCCATGCATGATCCTTGTTTCTTATGTTAATTGAGAGCTGATTTGATGAGATAACCACCCATCAGTGACCTTACAGGGAGGTCCAATCCCCCCCCCCCCCCCCCCCCCCCTGGTCAAACTAGTACAGACAGGCTTTAATTATACCCACTTGTATCTTTCTTCTTGCAGTGTATTTCCAATTTAGGATGTTTTTGATACACAACTGACTCAAACTTAAATTAGCGTTATTCATGAACCTCCCACCCGGCACCCCCCCCCCAAAAAAAAAAGAAACAACAACGCATGTAGGTCGGTGATAATATGAAAATGATAATTGATATTGATATTGATATCACATTATCAATATCATAATATGATTCATATGTCATACTTACATGTATACTTACAGTAGACCCTATTCTAATTCAAACAGAACATTTTATTAACAAATTAACAAGTAGGTCTAACTTTAGATCTAGACTCTAACGACTAACGTTAGATTCTAAGTAGGTCTAGAATAAGTCAAGTGGCTGATTGAACTAAAGAATTGTAAAGTAAAGTTAGCAAAGCAAGAAATTGGAACATTTTCATTGTGGCAGTGTACCTACCTATAAATAATAGAGCCTTACACTTGCTACAGTTCTACACTTGTTTACTCCCGTTAAAACAAAAAGGGAGGAATTCCGGATCAGTGGTTTCAGCTGAACGGAATGTAGAGACGGCCAGCCGACTTGCAGCTCGCCTGAAGTCACGGGTCCGCAAGCTGGCTTGTAATCGGCGTCTACCCGTACGTACCGGTAATAATGCGGCAACTTCCTTAATTAATTTTAAAGTGCATTTAACCAAACTACAGATCTAGCCTGATTCAGAGTCGATTTACTTACCATACTCACACTAACAGAGCAACTATGGTGGCTGGGTTATAATAACTATCCAGTATCCTAGCTCAGCCGATCAGTCATTACAATGATATATTGACGTCCTGTACGTGTCAAAGTCATACGTTTATAACAGATTAAAGCTAAGAAAATGATAAGCGGCGCGGGCGAAAGCCGCGCGCCGGGTCGGTAGGAGCGGCATGGCTAGACTTGCAAGGCCGGCCCAGTACAGCGCATTTTGATCAAACGACCGAGAATAGGCCCGGGGGATATGGAGCCCGCCCCCCCCCCCCCCCCCCACTCAGTGTTATTTAGGGTACGCATAATGCTGGTTCCCTCTTTTTGAAAGCACCCCCTATCTGAGGACTGCCAACATTTCCGAACCCCCCTTTCGCGGGCTTTTCGCGGGCTTTTCCTGCCTTGGATCGAGACCCCCTAAATTCGAAAAAATGTCAATGCTCAATGTACTCCCCCCGGCCCCCTCTCAGTGTTATTTAGGGTACGCATATGCTCGTTCCCTCTTTTTGTCGGTTCATACTTTTTCATGTTGTATATACTTATGTTTTCGTACGTTATAGAATTTCTACAAATTCATCATTATTTTCCTCTTCTTCCTTCTCCTCTTTTTCTTCTTCTCCTTCTTCTTTTTCTTCTTGTACTTAATATCATTTCTATCATCAGTTTAAATGTTGTTATTATTATCTTTAATAAGTAGTTCTTTTAATTTTCTTATCTGTCTGTAAATATTACTATTTTAACTTATTAATTTTATACATGTCTGTAAGGGACCCCACTGGAAATAAGCTCTCGAGCTTTCGTGGGTTATCCTGTTCAAGCTGACTTTTTTTGATCTGTTATTATTGTATATTGTTGTATGTTGGAAGCTTGTCGAATAAAAATCAATCAATCAATTTGAAAGCACCCCCTATCTGAGGACTGCCAACATTTTCGAACCCCCCTTTCGCGGGCTTTTCACTGGCTTTTCCTGCCTTAATTGGAGACCCCCCTAAATCAGGAAAAATGCTCAATGTACCCCCCTCACTTCAGAATAATTTCTCAGGAGTCCAAAGAGATGAGAGAAGAAAAAAAAAAACACCCCCTTTTTAAAGAAATCTCCGGGTGTAAAGTCAAATACACCCCTTTTTTTACAATTCTCGGGCCGGACTTTGTCGCACGAAAAGAACCCCTTTACCGGACATTTTGGTAACACGCATGCGGTCATTCCGACCCCTGAGGGGGGGGGGGGGGGGGGGCGGGGTACTCCCCCCCTCTAAATTCGGAAAAATGCTCAATTTACCCCCCCCCCCCCAAATCCGGAATAATTTCTCAGGAATCCAAAGAGATGAGAGAAAAAAAGATAAAACACCCCCTTTTTAAAGAAATCTCCGGGTGAAAGTCAAATTCACCCCCTTTTCTTACAATTCTCGGACCGGACTTTGTAGCACGAAAAGTACCCCTTTACCGGACATTTTGGTAACACGCACGCGGTCATTCCGACCCCGGAGTGGGGGCCGGTATATGGAGGAACCTATCCAAATGGTTTTAGGACAATTACCCCCTGGGCAATCACCCCCAGAAAATTTCCCTCACCCGGAAAACCACCCCCTCCCCCTAGGACAAGTACCCCTCGGAAAATTACACCCCAGAAAATTACCCCCCCCCCCCCGGAGGAAAATTACCCCCTAAGAACAATTACCCATCGAAAAATATTACCCCCGGATAATAACCCTCTGAGGACAATCATCGCCCAACCCCCCAAACCGGAAAATGTCCCCAAGGACAAGGCCCTCGAAAAAACTCTGCTTTTATTAAACTTCCCCTCGAACAGGGGGGGGGGGGGGGGCACTGGACTTTCCCTCGAACAGGGGATCGGGGGGGGGGGGATTTTCTTTGTTAAGGAGAAGATGAGGAAGGAGAGTTGTGCATTAGAAAGGAGATATTCAGGAGAGCTAGGGCATAATATCAAAGTACATTTTGAGTCAGCAAGGAGAGAATGACATTGTATCCAAAATAAGGAAAAAACAGAAAAAGAACATTTTTAAAAGAAAGAAAGAAATACATAATCAATTAAATTATAAACACAAATTTAACAAGAAAAGAAGAAATACTAATGCAGCAGTTTAAGCTAAGAAAATGTAAATTGAATCATTACCTTTATACTGTAAAAAAAAAAGTTTAAAGAACCCGATGAAGATGGATTATGTGAAAATGTCAAAATTCACTGAGAGACTATAGATTATTACTTTCTTGGTGTTAGATATATATGACAAAGGAAAACGAGTAATGCAAAGGTATTTAATCTATAAATCCTAAATGTATGTACGCTTTAAATATGACGAAATATTATAAATCATTGATTTACATCATGTTAATTAAAACGCGTTTTGCTATTTATAATTATGAGTGATACAAAAATGAAGGAAAGGAGAAAGAAATAGAATGTCAAAAGGATAATGAGTAATCTAATACATTGAACCTCTTTGCCCGTTACAGAAAAAACAGGTAAACTTGGACAGAAATCAAAAGATTATAATATTCATAATTATCTTGTCATTCATAATTATAGCCAGTTTGTGGCGATGGTGCAGACAATCTTCTAAGATTGAAGAGCGCCATCTACAGACCGTGATATCTCAAGGGATCATGAAATCTATTTTCAAAGGTTATTACATCAAATCATCGACATGATCTTGTTGATGAGTACCAAAAGTACAGAAATGTACTGACAACTCTACTAAACAAGTTTTCCAATAATGAATTGGAAAACTTGTAAAGTCTATTACTACTACTTCTACTACTACAAAGAAATGCGAAAAGGAATTGCTATTGCAATTTGGTACAAAATAATATAAAGGACACAAATAAAACATGGGTCATTATCAATGAGTTGTTAGCTGGAAAACAGATCACTGAGAAGCGCTGAGGTGGGAAGACTTATTAAAGCCCATCTGTAATAGTTAACAGAAGGGATTAAGCAGGCCCGTAGCCAAAAAAATGTCCAAGATCGGTTGATTTTTTTTAGACCCCTCCCCAGGACGTCGATCAATTAAATGTGTGTGCCCCCAAACATCAAACTCTGGCTACGGCCCTGGGGATTAGACCACCCTGCAAGGTCACTGACAGGTGGTTATTTCATCAAATCAGCTCTCCCTTAACATAAGAAAAAGAGGATCATGATGGGGACCAATGGTCACCGATTAGGCATTGTTTGCTATATAGAGGGCGCAAGCAGCTATAAGTAGTGCAGTGGGGATTGAAGAAGGTTCGTGGACAAAATATGCAACTTACATCTCAATTCGATATTGAGAATGAATGTTATGACTTTTTGGTGAATATTGAACCGAATTTAGCAAATGAATTGCCGAATAAAGATATAGCATATGGTAATTATTTTGGGCAGAATATAGAGTAATCTCTATTTTATAAGCCAATAACTGCAGTTGAAGTTTTGATGTTTGAAGTCAAACTTTGCTACTCGATACCAAAAAGGCTTGTGGTCACAATCACATTCCAGTGCAATTAATTAAAGATAGTGCTCAATATATTTCACATCCCCTGGAGGGTATATTTAACTTTTCATTAGAAAATGGCAAGGTTCTATAGATGAAATCAAAATTGCACAGGTTACTTTCCGAAAGAAAAAGATTTCGAAAAATTTATAAATATCTGATTATTCCAAATTCTAGAAGGAAAAAAGATATTTGATAGGAATTCCCATATAGTAACCAATCGTCATTGATCAACTTGATAAATTCAACTTTGAAATCTATACTCAGGGGAAAGTAACTCTGGGTATGTTCATCGATTTTGTTTTTGTTTTTGCGTTTGACACAATTAATCATAATAATAGTAAACTATCTAGTTATGGCATACGAGGGTTACCTCTAGAATGGTCCGAGGACTAAGTGCCCGATTCCGGTTTGTTCAGCGTGGTCAAACGTTATCTGAAAGGAAAGAGATAAGAAGTAGTGTTTCACAAGGAACGGTATTAGGGACATAGTGCAAACTCTGTTTTTGATTTATATAAATAATTCGCCAACTGTTATGGATTATTTCAATTTTTATGGATTTTTTTCTTCATTTCGGGTGCTTGCCGATGATTCCAACCTACACTGTATGTCTTAAAAGTGGAATAATCATGTTTACCCCAATTTATGGAAAGATTTTCACAATGATTTATTGCTATTAGATCCACTAGAATAGTATACATTCTCAGATTGTATTGAATAATAATTTGCGAGTGTTTGTTTTGTGTGACTGCTAAAGCATGTGTGTGCTACTATGCTAACCAACTATAGGGGAACTACTCTCTCTCTCTCTAAAAAAGAGTGAATGTTCACTCTATTTTCACTACGTTTTCACTCTCCTTGGGAGTGACGTCAGTGATCACTCGATTTTTTTTTTAGAGTCATAACTGACAGTAATGAGGTTTAATGCCTCACAAAAAGGGCACTAATATATCTGATCGACACGGTTTTGATCCTGGGGCCTCACAGTTACAAGACCATTGCTGACTGAATCATGACTGTATATAAGCAGCGGGGGCCAGGGTACGGGGCCGCCCCCACAAATACAAACAACTAAGAAAATGCAAAACATTATCAACAATTCATTGTATTTTCCCCCGGTCCCCAACAGGAAAAAAAAATCCTCTGTAGGGCCATGCATTATAGTCCAAGGCATGGCCATACAGAGGATTTTTTCACACTCATAGTATTCTAAAGATAACAGATTTATACGGTTATATAATCTGGGAATATTTATATATAATTCAAATAGAAATGAACTACCAATTTTTGTTATTCAATGTTTACAAAGAATGTCAATATTCATCCTTATCCTACTCGGTCTGCCGGGCATTTTCATCTATCAAAAACAAGAACTTTGCTCTCAAATAAATCATTTGTATTTGCAGGCTCAAAACTTTGGAACTCTCTTTCAGATCCGGTTAGAGATAAACCCACATAAACAAAAAAATTATTATAGTTTTAGTAGAGGGTTCAAAAAGAATTTAATACAAAAATACATATCTCCTACAGGTTAAACTTCTCACATCTCCCCTGTTCACACACACACGCACACGCACACACACACGCACACACACTCTCACACACACACACACACACACTCTCTCTCTCTTCTTCTTCTAATTTCTGTAGTGTGCATGCAGC